CTAGGGGACCGTGTCCACGGGAGCAGAATGGGTACTGGAATTTGTGGTTAGGACATTTGAGGCCTTCTTGATTTTACCAGCTGTCAAGGCAGCACATAATATTAAGCCTTAATCTTTAGACTTTATACCACAAAAGAGAATATAGACCTTGAAATACTGTTCGATATGGCTTTTAGCAGATCTGGGTATGGAAGGCTATGGAAGACAAGCAGAGTTGTCCTGTTCTCTGTGGGAGAAGACAGATGGGCATAGTAGTTAGAATGGAAATGTCACAGTAGGTCATATATGGTGCCATGAGCCCAGATCTCTCCACTGTGTCCAGTTCAGCATACATTTATTGATTGGCTGTACCATCCTAGAACCTGCCAAGGCTTAACCAGGTTCAGGTGACCAGTTTACTCTAGATCAGGAACAGTTTGACCTCCATTTACTTTGGCAGCAGCCAGGGAAGCTTGTCTAGCCCTGGAAGTCCGGGTTGCTGGAATGCATTCTAAAGGAGTTTTGGTTGGTGCCAGGCCACAGAGCTATTCACCCTAAGGCCTGGTTATTAGAATCCTCCGTATTTTGTAGGTTTTATTCTTAAAGCTGTTCTGACTGGAGCAAGGGCAGGTGCAAAAGGGAAGGTTTTGAGGATGACTTGGAACTTTTTAGAGGTGAAGGGTTGCTTGAAACATATTTGATAATAATTAGATGTGAAAAAATGTGATTTGAGAACAGGCAATGTTGTATAGTGCTTTGCTATTCAGAGAGGATTCCTTGGACTATCAACATCTGAGTCAACCCAGAGCTTATTAGAAATGCAGAATTCAGATCCCACTGCAGACCTTCTGGATCAGAATCTTTTCTTTGACAAGATCCCCAGGTGATTTTTACGCACACTCAAGTACGAGAAACTGTTCTAGTGGGTAGAAGGGCATGAGCTTTAAAAGGCTCAGACTGGATTTTGTATGTGATCTTGGGCCTGTTCCTTAACCTCTCCACTATTGGGACTTAATTATAAATTGGGTTTAACTATCTTGCTGGGTTATTAGTATTAAAGGGGGTAACATGTAAAATGTGCTTATTAGTAGCTCTTATTTGTGATTATTTGATAAATAATATCCTTGATAGAATATGAAAAGAGAGAGCAGGATACCATTACGGCTAACTCTGTTCACGAGACATGAATTGGTAATTGAGAAAAGTACAGTCTCCTGAGTCGATGGGTCAGTGGATGTGGTTGGGTCACTAAACAGTTCCCCTCAGGGTGAGACTGTAAGTGTACGTTAAGTAACCAAGAGTTGACAGCTATACTTTTTAGTGGCTACTGAGCGCTTGGAAGGGAGAATAATCTGCAGAAGTGGTAGCTAAGTCTTGGACTCCAGTGAGGCCTTCATATTATAGAGAAAAGAACTATGGCTTGAGAATTGAGACATGGGCTCAGTTATGCCCCTTGTTAGCTCTGTGGCCCTTAACAAGCCATTTAACATCCCTGATCCTTAGTCTTCATCTGTAAAACAAAGGTAAAGGTAAATGGAAGGATGAGGTGTAAATCCCAGAATATAGCAAGGTATTATCCCTACTTGATATGTACCGTAGAGTTCGGTAGACAGCCTCCCGAATCCCCAAAGGTGACTCTTAGGCCAACTCAGCTGCTTTTAGAATCTTCAGTACTGAAATTCTTCAGAGCTGTTCTGGCTACCTGGATTTCCCAATGACCAGAATGTACCTTAGGAAAGCACACAGGCCGTTCAGGTATTGCTACAAATCTCAAAGATTGGAACGGTAGTAGACTAGTATTTGGGATGGAGTGATGATGATAGTGATGACAATAATGTTAGAAACAACAATGACAATACATATAAAAAGGTACTACCATGAACCCAGGAGTATCAAATACAAAAACCTCCATCCCTTACACTATATATTGCTGCCTTTCAGGCCGGCAGTGTAAGAGAAGAAACCAAATGACAACTGCTTTTGAACTTGAGCAATGTGGGCCTGCTAAAAGCTACGGTCACCCTTTTCTAACCTCACCAATCCTCCTTGCATTCTCAGAAATAATGCTAGTGGTTCTCTTTTAACTTATCTGATTCCTTAGATACGTTACATTTTAAATCATCTTTTTGTGTGTAGCAGATGCCCCATTTCTTGTCTCTGAGTGTGTGATCTTTGCTCTAATTATGTTGAGAGTGCCTGTTATTTCACCTGATTCTGGTTGTTTGTGAGATACTAAATAGCCATGGGGTTAAAGCTGACTCGGATCAAAGAGCAACTCAGCCTCTCAGGACCTCAGTTTCCTCTGTTAAAAAGGGGAGGGATTGGACTAAGGTCATTTGGTCATTGGACAAGAGTACGTGATAGATAAAGTAATGAACTTCTGTTTGCTGAAAGCAATGAATAGGGCTCTCCAAGGTCCCTTCCAGCTCTCTGGTTCCAGCAGAATCCAGAAATCAAGACAGAAGTAAAAATTATATTCTGGAGATAGGGATTATCAATAGCAACTGTAAAAACAAAACAAACTTTAAGCAGATAAGGTTGCATTGAGCCAGGCCATATGAGAGATGTCTCAGACTATGAGATAGATGTGCCCAAAGGATAGTGCAGAATTGTTAGGAGAACTGGAATGGAGGACCCTTGATCAAGTATTAGGATGGCTTTTCTTTCTTGGGTATTGGGATATAGAAATCTAGGCAGATGTGTGTCCAACTTCTGCTCCTATGGAGCTTTATTTATTATTAGACAATATATATAGGTTGCTTGTTCTTCCTTCCCATTGCTAGTCACTTTTCCGTATTAGACCATGCCATCTGTCACTGGAATAGCTCTGCTTTAATTGTGCTGTATTTCAGAAACTCCTCCCTCAAAGCAGGTTAAGTTCCTCTGCTCATTTTCTGGCCTCCCTAACCTAGGCAGCCTAGTGTTCCACATTTCCTCTTAAGTGGGTATTTTTGGAGACCCACCCTAGCCAGCCCAGTGTCCATAATAATGATGGCAACAACTTACTGGAGGGCTTTCCAATGCCTTTCCAATGGGTCCAGTGCTAACTGCCTGTGCACATACATGATTCCAGAGCACTCTCCCTCTTCACCCTTACCTGTTGAAATTGTACCTAACTTGCATTTACCAACTCCAGTCCTACCCTTTTCCTTTCCACTCACTGGGATCAATCTGTTTTTTTCCCTTCTCTCTTCTTCCTTTCCCTCTTCTTGTCTCTTGAGTCCTTTTAAGACTTCTGTTTTCAGTCATTCCAGTTGAAATAAGTTGAATCAACTTTATTACAAGCTCTCTGTGAACAAGGACCTTGTTTTATATTTCACTTGGCTCCCACACAGCACCTAGCAGTGGGCTGAGTAATTGGTAGGCAATTGACCCATAAATAGTTGTTAGTTGACATATGTGTATTGCTGGCTGAAGACTTATGGGGAAATAAGTACAGTAAATTGGGGAATGGCAGGTCCAGTTCCTGAGGCCCAGAAAAGAGTCTCTTACCCTTCATCAGTGGCAGCAAAGTTTTTTGTTTGAGTGTCTTGCTGAGGACATTGCCAGCAGTTGTGGATTTCAGAACATCTACTTTATTTAATTAACTGATGTATATAAGAGACTGTAAGTCTTTAGTGTTACTTTCCTTCTTGTTCATCAAAGGGATTCCATGTTTCTTACCAGCTCTGACTGAAGTTCTCACTTGTGCTTTTTCTGGTTTTGGGGGGGTTTTTTTTCCCCCTGTGTGTAACTGTTGTTTGTTTGTAGCTTAAAGAATCTTCAAACTTTCAGATTCTTTTTGGAAGTAGACAAAATAAAAATTTAAATAAATAAAATCTTTGTGCTTCTTTTAGAAAGCTGGCCTAGTTTCCACTTTGTGTTGAATTCCCATTTGTGTTTTGGGTCATTATGCAGCACTAGGTTCAGCCAATTAAGTTTTTTCTTTCTAAGTATCTATTCTATATCAGTATAGTCTTTTCTTGAGGCTTTAATATTGTTGCTTTGAGGAACATGCATCCTTCTGGTGCTCTTTTGTTGCTTAAATGTTCTTCCCTTGGGACCTTTGACAATTTTCCCAAGGCTAGTGATTTCAGTTAAGTGCTTAATAACATAATTTAGGTTGCCTCTATACAGGAATCTACAGGACTTAAAGATTCCAACATGCTGTGTTCCACTATAGTTTCTTAACTCTGAAAAGCATGCTTTTGTGACATTATATTTAGCGCTATATTCTCTCCCCTCCATTTAACTTCCTTGCAAAGGGAGTTAGGGGGAAATAGTAAAATATATGTTAGAGGCTTTTACATTTTAGTTGTGCGATCAACAAAGTGTAGTTTAGCCTCTATAGTACATTTCAGTAGCCCCCAAGTCACTAATGTATCCCTTATGGTTATATATTAGATTTAATAACAGTATTCTGTACCTGAAAGTGGTCTACAAAGATTATATAGTTTAACTGTTTATTTACAGGTAGGTACTTTAGCTGTCATGTCAGATGGCTAGTTTCAAAACTATTTAATGAGGAAAATTCAGTCTTTCTTGGTAATAATAATACAGATAACACATATAGTATTTACTACGTGCTAGGCACTGTTTTTAATATAAACACACCTACACATTAATTCTCTTATAAGTAGCATATGGCTGTTTTTTTTAAGAATCCAATCAGAGAATCTCTGCCATTTAGCAGGAACGTTTAATCTGCTTCTTTATTGTGATTACTAATACATTTGGACTTATTTCTACCGTCTTAAGTTTTTTTCTATTTACCTTTGCCTTTACCTTCTTTGCCTTTCTTTTCCCCCTTTTCCACTTGCTATTGTATTAATCACATTTTCTTAATTCCCTTTTATACCTCTTGTTTGCAAATATTTGTTCAGTTTCTGTTCCCTTATATCCTTACCTGTTAACATACATACTTTACTTAGGCTAAAAGCTAAAGTTAATCATTATTTTTGTCATCCCCTTGACTCTTAGAACATCCTAACTCTAGTTCTCCTTCTCTCATCTTCCATGTTCTTGTTGATTTTTAATTTCAGAGAGGCAGTGGATTTTTAAGAATATAGACCTCAGAGCCAGACTGCCTGAATTTGGAGCCCAGGTCTGCCACACACTAGTTGTGTGACCTTAGGTAAGTTGTATAACCTCTCTGTGCCACATTTTCTTATATGTAAAATGGGGATGATAAGAGTACCTACTTCACAGGGTTGTTGAAAAGATTAAATGAGTTAATAGATGCAAAGCATTTAGAACAGTCCCTGGCACATAGTAAGCATTAAATAAGTGGTAGCTACTATGGTTGTCATTATTCTACTTTGTTTTTAACCTCCCCTTCCCATATCCATTTTAAAATAGCCAGTGCATTTTAAAACACATTTCTTAATTTCTTTTTTATTAAGATATAATTAACATACAGTTCAATGAATTCTATTTGAAGAGTTTTGACAAATATCTACTCTTCAACCACCATCCAAAATAAGGTACAGAACATTTCCATTCCCCGAGAAGGTTTCCTTGTGTCTCCTCCTGTTTAATTCCCTTCCCCCACACCACCCCACAACCTCCACAACCACTACAGTATCTGGTTGCTACCACTGTAGATTAGTTTTTTCTGTATGTCTCTTTCCTGTAGATTTAGTCATGTATATGTACTCTTTTGTGCCCGGCTTCTTTGACCTAACATACTGTTTTAGGGTTTATCCATGTTGTTGCTTGTATCAATGGTTAATCTTTTATTATAAGAAACCTCCACACAGTTCTTCAAAGTAGTTGTACCATTTTGCACTTTCCGCAGTAATGTATGCAAGTTCTAGTCATTCTGCATCCTCATCAACATTTGGTATTATCAGTTTTTCTGATTTTAACTTTTCTAGTGGGTACGTTTAGCAGTTTCTTTGCTTGCTACTTGCTATTTTTTCTTACATTCTATCCTTTCTTTCTGGTTCAGTTTGCTTCTTATAGTAATTCTTTCAGTGACAGTCTCTGAGCCTCTTATCTTTGTTTGAAGGTGATTTTGTTTCAACTTGTATATAGATACATGGTTGATTGTTATTTTGCTTAATATTTGAAAACTGTTACTCCATTTTCTTATATCTATTGTTATTAACGAGAAGTCTGTACCAGTCAAACTGTCTTCTTTGATTAAGTAATAATCTTTTCTTTTGGTTTGCTTACAATTTCTTTTTCTCAGTGTTGTTGATACTTCAAAGTTTTTATTCTGAAGACTCATGTCTGACTTTAATCCTAGAACATTCTCAGATATTATATCTTCAAATTGCTTCTGCCACATGTTCTTCATTATCTCTATCCGGAACACCTATTCAGATGCATGTGAAACCTTCATATTCTGTTTTCCATATCCTTTAACCTCTCTTTCATATTTCTGTTTTTGGGTTTTTTTTGTTTTGTTTTGTTTTTTACCTCTCTGCTACCTTCTGAGTAATTTTCTCAGACTTCTTTTCCTAATCACTCATTTTCTCTTTAGCTGTATCTAATCTGTTTAATTCACTGATAGATGAATTTCAGTGACTTAGCTTTTATTCCTAGAAGTTCTTTTGGTTCTTTTTCACATCTGCCTATTCTTTTTTCATATTATCTTTTTCTTCCATTATGGCTTCCCTTCATTTTGCCTGTTTATTAAAACGAAACAATTAATTTGTAGCATTTTTTCATAGTATTCTATAATTTTTAGGGTTTTCAATTCTTGGAGATGCTATTTGTGCTCTTTCTTGCATCTAATGTCTTTCCGTTGTGGTGATTCATTTCCTCATGTGACTTTTTGTTTTTACTGTTTGCCTTTTGGGGGTGGCACAGGAATCCTCCTCATCTGAGACACTCTAGCATCTATCTTGGCAAGGCCCTTCTCGTTTGATTTTTTTTCCTCCTTCACCTCCTACCCCTACTCCTATTTCCCTCCCCTTTATAGCACTTACTCTAATGTATTTGATAAAATGTCTTTTGCTACAATGTAGCTTTACCTTACTGTTAGTCATTGTTTTGTTTTTGTGTTTTTAACTTACATAAATGGCATTATGCTCTAGATCTCATTCTGGTTGTTATTGTTTCATTCAATTGGGTATTTAAGATCTGTTTCTGTCTGAATAGTCAGTTGTTGCTTCTTTCTAATGCACTATATTCCATAGGATACATTCTGCATATTTACTTAAATTCTTTTTGTGACTGACATCTAAATTACCTCTCATTTCCCTGCTACAAAAAACAATGGCCCAGTGATCTTTCTGGCCATGTGTCCTTATGAACCTATGTGAGAACTTTTCTGGGAAATGTACTCAGAAATATGATTCTTGGACCACAAGGCATATATGCACAGAAAATTTCACTAAATATTACCAGAGTGTTTTTCCAGAATAGCTATATGAATTTATATACCACCAGTTTTACTCTAGATTCAAATTTATGTTCTACCACATGTTACTGTAAGACCTTAGAGAAATTACTTAACCTCTCTGGGCCTTAGTCTCCCCATCAGTAAAAGGGAATAATAACAGCATCTGCATCATCAGGTTGTTAAGAGAATGAAATGAATTAATATATGTAAAGCATATTCCTGAATATAATAAGCACTTCCTGAATATATAATAAATGTTAGCTGCTTTTACTGCTATTGTAACAACTACTCTTACTTGTTAGCCAGTTAAGTGAGCTTCTCCTTTTCTGAATTGCCTTGTTACGTCATTTGCCCATTTTTCTCCCCATTGGATGTTTTTTCCCTAAGGTTTCCAGGAATTTCTTATGTATTCTTATTATTCTTATTCTTATTCTTATGTTGTCTTTAAACTGTATAAATATCTCCTGGTTCCTGGTTCTACCATTTGTCCATTGTCTATTAATCATATCTATAGACTATAGAGTTCTTTGACAGAAACCTTTAATATCAGTATAATCATATTCATCTTTTCTTTTTTTAAGCTTTTGGGGCAATGTTTAAGAAGTTTCCCAACACCTGCTTCAAAGATACCCTCTGACATTTTCTACTGTTAACTTTTATAAATTTACCTTTCACATTCAGGTCTTCCTCATATGGTTTGTAATAGTGAGCTCATTTCTTTCTATGTTTTTCTTTTTTCCTGTGAGAGTCTCTGTGCCTTGGGTTTTGAAAGTATTCTGTTTTTTTTCTCCTGCATGTCAAAGACCAATTTTTATGTTAATTTCTCAGCCCAAGATTCTTATATGATATAATATATAAATTTGGATCCTTCACCTCTGTATGTCATAGGCCTTCATTTTAGATTTCTTGTGGGTGCCATTTCTTCTACTCAAGGCCCAGATAATTAGCAACTTTTATTCTGTTTCCCTGAGCCAGTGAGCAGAGATTTTTCAGACTGCATATAAAGGACGGATAGTTGTTTGAGGCTCTGTGCTTTGTGCAAGGGTCTCAGTTCCAACTCCCCCACCTTCTACCTGCCTGAAGCTATATTTCCAGTCTCCATGTGAGCATTAATGCTTTCTCCTCCAAGCCTAGGGCCTGTATTAGAGTTTGAAACCCCTTTGGGCCATCATGGTCTCAACTCCCACTTTACTGTTTCAGCTTTGATTTTGATGTCACTTCCATTTCAGGTACCTGGGGATTTCCTTTTTTTTTTTGCTTGACTATATATATATATATATATATTTTTTTTTTAATTTATTTTATTTATTTTTGGCTGTGTTAGGTCTTTGTTGCTGCCTGCGGGCTTTCTCTAGTTGTGGCGAGTGACTCTTCGTTGTCGTGCTCAGGCTTCTCATTGCGGTGGCTTCTCTCATTGCAGAGCACGGGCTCTAGGCGTGTGGGCTTCAGTAGTTGTGGCTCGCGGGCTCTAGAGCACAGGCTTAGTAGTTGTGGCGCACGGGCTTAGTTGCTCCACAGCATGTGGGATCTTCCCAGACCAGGGCTCGAACCCATGTCCCTCGCATTGGCAGGCAGATTCTTCTTAACCACTGTGCCACCAGGGAAGCCCTAGCTTGAATATATATTTTTAAAGCATTTTTGTTACATTTTATCCAGTGTTTCTGTGTGTGAAGTGGGAGGAAAAGGTCCATTTACATCAGCTCAGTGTGCCATTTCGCCAAAAGTCTTTCCTTTAATTAGTATTCCTATTAATCTCAGTAAAATTTCAACTTTCAACTTTACCAGTTTACATTCATTAAGTAACCTTTGAATTTATTCTGCCTTAACTATCCCCATTCTCCTTTTACTGCTCAAGTTTATAACCATGTTTTTAGTATCTATATATTGGTAAACCACATAGTTTTGTTCAGTTTTTTTTAACCTTGCTCAGTTGCTTATTCTGTTACAGTTATTCTATTATTTTCTTATCTAATTTAGTTGTCAACAAAAATATGAAATAGCTCTGACCACAATCCTGTAGTTAATGCTCAAAGTACCTCCCTCTGGATCATTGGTGGCTCTTCGTATTTTTTAATCTGATGAAAGACTGACCAGAAATGACCCCAAAGCAACATTTTAAGTAAGTTTTAGTTTGTCCTAAAAATATAATCCCAATAATGTGTTTCTTATTAATAGGATTGTTTGAAAAGATTTATGTCCAGGTAAGTCTTTTGATTTACTGTAATCCATAGAGCCTATGTCTTGTCTTAGGAAGAAAATCATATTCTCCTGATATCATTTGTTCTTTAGAAAAACGACATCAGTGCCTGTTTAGTCGTTTTGTGTTATTTGCAAATTGAATTCTTGTTCTGATTTTTTTCTCAGATATTAAAATAAGTTAATTTACAAATTTTCAAACTTACCTCCTTTTTTTCTAAAGATAGCTCCTACTTTTGTCTGTTTTAAATCTTACAGAACTTTTTTTTCTGTTTTCCACAAGAACTGGGAGATATTCCAATCCTGCTCCTGTTGCTACTACTATTTCAGCAACAAGTCAGTTAGCTCCTAGGCCACAGTTTATCTTTAAAAAGTATGCATTTTTATAACACAGATATTAAAACAAGCTGTAGTCAAATAGTAAGGTTAGATGTTCTCAAAGCTACCCTTTGAGTAAGCTTTAAAAAAATTATATGAATTCATGAATGTTCTACAATCTATACCATAGTATAGATAGGGTTTGGGGTGATTAGTACTGAAAATTTACATTCCCAAAAGGAAAAATTTCTTAATAGATGAACTTTATTCTTTAGAGCAGTTTTAGGTTCACTGCAAAATTGAGAGTAAAGTGCAGAGTTCCCATATAATCCTGTCCCCACACAGCCTCACCCACTGTCCCACAACACAGTGATACATTTGTTACAATCAGTGAACCTACGTGGATACGTAATTGTCACCCAAAGTCCATAGTTTTCATTAGGGTACACTTTTGGTTTCATACATTCTCTGGAATTTGACATGTATATGATACATGAATTCACCATTGTAGTTTTATACACAATAATTTCACTGCCCTAAAGATCCTCCGTGTTTCACCTATTCATCCCTCCTTACTCCCAACCACTGGCAACCACTGATCTTTTGACTATCTCCATCGTTTTGCCTTTTCCAGAATGTCATATGGTTGTATTCATATAATATAGAGACTTTTTATATTGGATTCTTTCACTTACTAATATGCACTTAAGTGTCCTCCATGTCTTTCCATTGCTTGATAGCTCATTTCTTTTTGCACTAAATAATATTCTATTGTCTGGATGTACCACAGTTTGTTTATCCATTTATCTGGTGAAAGACATTTTGGCAATCACGAATAGAGCTGCTATAAACATCTGCGTGCAGGTTTTTGTGTGGACGTAAGTTTTCAGTTTTTTTAGGTAAATATCAAGGAGCACAATTGCAGGATCATATGATAAGGATATGCTTAGTTTTATAATAAACTCCTAATCTGTCTTACAAAGTGCTGTACCATTTTGCATTCTCACCAGCAATGAATAGCAGTTCCTGTTGCTATACATCCTCACCTGCATTTGGTGTTGTTAGTGATTTGGGTTTTGTCATTTCTAATAGGTTTTATTTGTAATTCCCATATGACATATGACGTTGAACATCTTTTTATATGCTTACTTGCTATCTGCATCTCTTCCTTGGTGGGATGTCTGTTAAGGTCTTTGGTCCATTTTTTAATCAGGTTGTTTTCTTATTGTTGAGTTTCAAGAATTCCTTGTATGTTTTAGATAATAGTCATTTAACAGATATGTCTCTTGCAAATATTTTCTCCCAGTCTATGACTTGTCTTCTCAGTCTCTTGACATTATCATTCATAGAGCAGAAGTTCTTTAAGTTTAATGAAGTCCAGCTTATCCATTATTTCTTTCAGGGATCATGCCTTTGGAGGTGTATCTAAAAAGTCATTGCTAAATCCAAGGTCACCTAGGTTTTCTTCTTTGTATTTTCTAGAGGTTTTATAGTGTTGTGTTTTTACATTTAAGTCTGTGATCCAATTTGAGCTAAATTTGTGAAGGCTATGAGGTCTGTGTCTAGATTCATTTTTCTACATGTGGATGTTCAGTTGTTCCAGCACCATTTGTTGAAAATACTGTCTTTGCTCCATTATCAAAGATCAGTTGACTGTACTTTTGTGGGTCTATTTATCTCTTCTTTCACCAGTACCACACGGTTTTGGTTACAGTAGCTTTGTAGGTAAGTATTGAAGTTGAGTAGTGTCAGTCTTCTACTTCGTTCCTCTACCCTGATATTGAGTTGGCTATTCTGGATCTTTTGCCTCTCCATATAAACTTTAGAATCAGTTTGTCAGTATCCACAAAATAACTTGCTGGGATTTTGATTAGGATTGTGTTGAACTTATAGATCAATTTGGGAAGAACTGAAATTTTGACACTACAGAGTCTTCCTATCCATGAACATGGAATATCCCTCCATTTACTTATTTTTTCTTTGATATCTTTCATTAGAGTTTTGTAGTTTTTCTCATATACATCTTGTATGTAGTTTGTTAGACTTATCCTCAAGTATTTTCACATTTTTAATTTCTTTTTTGGGGGTGCCAATTAAACGGTAATGTTTTCATTTCAAATTTGACTTGTTCATTGCTGATAGACAGGAGAGTGATTAAGTTTTTTATATTTACCTTGTATCCTGCAACCTTGCTGCTATTGCTTGTTATTATTAAATTTTTTGTCAGTTCTTTTGGATTTTCTACATACCTCATCACAGTCATATCATCTGTGAACAAAGACCGTTTTGCACCTTCCTTCCCAGTCTGTGTACCTTTTAGCTGGGAATTCCAGAATGATATTGAAAAGCAGTGGTGAAATGAGACATCCCTGCCTTGTTCCTGATCTTAGGCAGAAAGCTTCGACTCTAATGTTAGCTGTTGGTTTTTGTAGCTGTTCTTTATCAGGTTGAGGAGGTTCCCCTCTATTCCTAGTTAGCTGAGAGTTTTTATCATGAATTTTGTGGATTTTGTCAAATGCTTTTTCTGCATCTATTGATATGAACATGCGATTTTTCTTTTTTAGCCTGTTGTTATAATGGATTACATTTGCTGATTTTCAAAGGTTGAACCAGCCTTGAATACCTGGGATAAATCCCACTTGGTCATGGTGTTAAATTATTTTTATTTATTGTTGAATTTGATTTCCTAATATTTTGTTGAAGATTTTGGTCTTTGTTTTTCTTATAATGTCTTTGTCTGGTTTTGCTGTTAGTGTAATGCTAGGCCCATAGAATGAGTTAGGAAGTATTCCCTCTGCTTCTATTTTCTGGAAGAGATTGTGGATATTTGGTATAATTTCTTCCTAAACTGTTTTGCAGAATTTACCAGTGAACCTATCTGGGCCTGCTGCTTCAAGTGTTGGAAAGTTATTAATTATTGACTCAGTATCTTTGATAGATTAGGCCTATTCAGATGTCTAGTTCTCCTTGTGTGAGTCTTGGCAGATTGTGTCTTTCAAGTAATTGATCCATTTCATTAAAGTTACCAAATTTGTGGGCATATTATTATATTATTCCTTTTTTATCCTTTTATTGTGCATGGGATCTGTACTGGTGTCCCCTCTTTCATTTCTGATATTAGGAATCTGTGTTCTCTCTTTTTTCTTAATTAGCCTGGTAGAGGCTTATTGATTTTATTGATCTTTTCAAAGAGCCAGCTTTTAGGTTTGTTTTTTTTTTCTCTTGATTTCCTTTTCTCAGTTTCATTTATTTGTCCACTATTTTCTTTTTCTCCTGCTTACTTTGGATTTACTTTGTTCTTCTTGTTTTAGTATCCCAAAGCGGAGGCTTAAATTATTGGTTTTAGATCTTTCTTCTTTTCTAATGTATGCATTCAGTGCTATAAGTTTCCCTCTAAGCACTGCTTTTGCTGCATCCTATAAATTTTGATAAGTTGTATTTACATTTTCATTTAGTTTAGAATATTTTTGAATTTGTCTTAAGATTTCTTCTTATGTGTTATTTAGAAGTGTGTTGTTTAATCTCCAAGTATTTGGAGATTTTTCCAGCTATCTTTTTGTCATTGATTTCTAGTTTAATTCCATCGTGGTCTGAGAACAGAGTGTATGGTTTCTATTCTTTTCAACTTGTGAAAGGTAACTTATGGCCCAGAATGTGGTCTATCTTGTTGAATGTTCCATGTGATATTAAGAAGAATATGTAATATGCTATAGATGAAGTAGTCTATAGTCGATTGATGGTGCTATTAACTTCACCGATGTCCTTACTGATTTTCTGCCTTCAGGCTCTATCCATTTCTGATAGAGAGGTGTTTAAAGTCTCCAACTATAATAGTGATGCACCTATTTCTCTTTGTATTTCTTTCAGCTTACCTTACGTGTTTTGATGCTCTTTTGTTAGTTGCCTACACAGTAAGGATTATTATGTCTTGTTAGAGTATTGACCCCTTTTTCATTAAGTAACTCCCCTTTATCCCTAATATCTTTCCTTACTTGAAGTCTGCTCTGTCTGAAATTAATATAGCTCCCCTGCTTTCTTTTGATTACTGTTAACATGGTATATCATTCTCCATGTATTTATTTTTAATCTATATGCATCTTTAAGTGTGTTTCTTGTAGACAACATCAGAGTGGGTCTTGTTTTTTGATCCACTCTGACAATCTGTCTTTTAATTAGTATATTTAGAGCATTGATCTACCATATTTGTTAATGTTGTCTATATGTTGCCCTTGTTCTTTGTTCCTACTTTTGTCTAACATACTTTTTCATTCTTTTGTAGTTTTAATTGAGCATTTGACGTGATTCCATTTTCACTTCTTTTTACCATATCAGTTATACTTCTTTTTAAAACTTATTTTAGTGGTGTCCTATAGTTTGCAATAGATTTACAACTAATCTAAATCCACTTTCAAATGACACTGTACCACTTCACATGTATTATAAGTACCTTATAATAATAATAACATAATCTTAATCCTTCCCTTCTCTCCCTTGTATTATTGCTGTCATTCATTTCATTTATACATAAGCATATAGAATTGACCCTTGAACAATGCAGGGGTTAGGGACACTGACCTCTGGCACAGACAAAAATCTGCATATAACTTTGTAGTGAGCCCTCTGTATCTGTGGATTCAACCAACTGCAGATTACGTGGTACTGTAGTATTTAGTGTTGAAAAAATCCACATGTAAGTGGATCTTCACAGCTCAAACCTGTGTTGTTCAAGGGTTACCTGTATAAACATAAGCATACATAATCAAATACATTGTTACTGTCATTATTTTGAACAAACTGCTATCTACGTCAGTTAAGAATAAAAAATAAAACTGCTATCTATGTCAATTTTTGTTTTACCTTCACCTATTCATTCTTCAGTGCTATTCATTAGTTTATGTAGATCCATATTTCTGTACTTTATCATTTCCTTCTCTCTGAATAACTTCTTTAACATTACTTGGAAGGCAGGTCTACTGGCAAGCAAGTCCCTCAACCTTGCTGGTCTGAGAAAGTATTTTACATTCACTGTTAAAGGAAAAAATTTCAGGGTAGAATTCTAGGTTGGTAGTTTGTTTTCTTCTCTCAACATTTTAAATATTTCACTCCACTCTTCTCTTGCCTGCATGGTTGTTTGAGGAGAAATTAGATGTAATTCCTATCTGCTTCTCTGAAGGAAAGGTCCTTTTTCCTCTGGCTTTTTTCAAGATTTGTTTTTTAAACTTTGATTTTTCTATAGTTTGAATATGATATGCTTAAGTATAGTTATTAAGAGCATTTATCCTGCTTGGGGTTCTGAGCTTCTTAGACCTGTGGTTTGGTGTCTAACATTAATTTGGGGAAATTCTTCGTCATTATTGCTTCAAATATTGCTTCTGTTTCTTTTTCTCTTCTCCTTCAGATATTCCCATTGCACATATGTTTTACCTTTTGTGGTTGTCTCACAGTTCTTGGATATTGGTTCTGTTTTTTTCAGACCTTTTTTACTTTGCTTTTCAGTTTTGGAAGTTTCTTATTATTATATCCTCAAGGTCAGAGATTCTTTACTCAACCATATCTAGTCTACTAGTAAGTGCATCAAAGGCATTCTTTATTTCTGTTACAGTGTTTTTAACCTCTAGGTTTTCTTTTTCATTCTTTCTTAGAATTTCCATCTCTCTGCTTACATTGCCATCTGTTTTTGCATGTTGTCTACTTTTTCCTTTAAATCCCTTATTAATCATTTTTTTTTAATTCCTTGTCTGATAATTCCTGACATATCTGACTGTGGTTCTGATGCTTGTTCAGTCTCTTTGAAGTGTGTTTTTTGCCTTTTAGTATGCCTGGTAGTTTTTTCTTGAAAGGGAGACATAAAGTACTGGGTAAAAGGAACTGTGGTAAGTATGACTATAGTGATGGGGTGGTAAGATGTGAAGGGAGGAAGTGTGTTTTATAGACCTATCATTAGGTCTCAGTCTTTTGGTAAGTCTGTGCCCCTGGACTGTGAACTTCACTGATACTTTTCAGCCTCCCCCTCCCCACCTCCTTAAGTGGTACAGGATGGCTAGAGTGGGCTGACGTTGGGTATTTCCTTTCCTCCAGTTAGGTTAGACTCTGGTAAAATAGTTTCTTCTGATTCTAGGCCTTGTTGAGAAGAACAGAGTCCTCTGTCATATTTTAAAATGGTTACTTTCTCCTTCCTCCTGCCAGAATCAGAAGGGAATTTTCCCCCAGTATTCACTGTGAGTACCCAGTAGAGCTCCTGGAGTTAAAACTCACAAAATTATGACTCTGTCCCTCTGGATTTTTTAACTCTCAGACTTGTCCACCCTGAGCCTCCATCAGTTCGTTAACTTAGGTTTAGTTTTCCTATTCTGGCACTGCTTCCCATGGATTTCTCTTGGTGGGTTTCTGCTCTGAGAAGTTGTGATTCTCTGCCAGTCTCTCCAATTTTGGGAGCAGTAGTTTTGCCCTGTGACCTCACTTCTCTGACAGAGCTAAGAAGAGTTGTTGATTTTTCCGTCTGTTTGCCTTTTTACCTGTCAAGTTAGAATGGTGACTTTTAAGCTCCTTCCATGCCAGACCAGAAACCTGGAAACCAGAACTTGGAAATATTTTCATTTTTATTTTTATTTTTATTTGTCAGTTTCAAATGTGGGAAAATAAGGAATAGTGGTGGAGTGGAAAGGTAACAAAGGCAACCAATGTTATTTTGACAAATGTCAAAGACCATGTGACTTTCCTGCTTAAAGCCCTTCAAACCCTTTGTTGACTCCTCATTGTCTTTAGGATAAATCCAAGCTCCTAAGCATGGCCCATGTATCTTTCTGTGGCCAGAACCTCTGCCTGCCTTTCCAGATTCATCTCCTGACACTCCCTGTCCCTTTCTATATGTTCAGTATCACTGAACTCCTTATAATACCCCCTCCTAAACCTCCTTCCTGCCATGTGATGTTTTCTTATTTGTGTGCCTCACGCAGGCTTCCCTGCTTGGAGTGCCTTTTTCTCCCACTCTTTTCACCTCATCAGTGCCTGCTCACTTATTAAGGCAGGTTAGCTGTTAGCTCCTCCACAAAAACCTTACTCTAACTCTTGGATATCCCTATTCCCCAAACTGGGCTTCTAAGTACAAGTCTCTATCATTACATTTCCTGCCATTCATTTATTCATTCCACCAACTAACCAACAGTGTTTGTGTTGGGCAGAATTTTCAGCACTGGGATGCAGCAGATAATGAAAAAAAAGTTCCTTCCCTAATGGCGTTTATATTCTAGTGAGGGGTACATGATAAGTAAGTAAAAGTATGTGTCAGTAGGCTATGATAAAAAATAGAGCAAGAGGGGGCTTCCCTGGTGGCGCAGTGGTGGAGAGTCTGCCTGCCAATGCAGGGGACACGGGTTCGTGCCCCGGTCGGGGAGGATCCCACATGCCGCGGAGCGGGCTCGCTGAGCCTGTGCTCCACAAAGGGAGAGGCCACAACAGTGAGAGGACAAAGAAAAAAAAAAAAAAAAAAAATAGAGTAAGAGGGATGGAATGTTCTGTGGTTGGAGAGGAGGTTGCTATCTAAAGAACATGGTCAGATTTGATTAAATGTTCTAAATCATTAAAAAATAAATAAAATAAAGAACATGATCAGGGAAGACCTCGTTGATCATGTGGCCATTGAGCAGAGTCCTGATGGGAGTGAGAGAGTGAGCCATGCACTCATGTGAAGAAACCTACGGGTGAATATGCTTAGTGTGTTCCACAATCAGCAAGGAAGGCGTGGTGCTTACAGCAGAATGGGTGAGGGGGAGCGAGGCGGAAGATGAGGTTTTAGAGCTCATGACAGCCAGAGTAAGAATTTTGGCTTTTGGCTTTTACTCTGAGACCAGGAACCATGGAGACTTTTGTGCAAAGTGACATATATGGCTATGTGCTAAAAAGATCTCTCTGACTACTGGGTTGAAGATAGAGTAGGGTAGGGGTAGGGCTAGGAAGGGGTGGAGGCATGGGGGACCAGTTAGGACATTGTTGCAATATCCAAATAAAAGGTGATGGTGGCTTGGGCTGACCAGAGTAGAAGCAGTGGAGGTAGTAGTAAGTGATTGGATTTTGGATATATTTTGAAGGTAGAGCCAACAGGATTTATAAAGGATTGGGTAAGGGATATGAGAAAAAACAGGAGTCAAGGATGATTTCTAGGTTTTTGGTCTGAACAACTAGAAGGGACAGAATTGCTGTGAAGTGGGGAAGATGGCAGGGGAGTTTGGATTTAAGTTTAAGAAACCTAACAGGCCTCCAATTAGAGATGTTCAATAGGTAGTTGGAAGTGTGCGTCTGCAGTTCAGAGGAAAGGGCTGAGCTGGAAATATAAATCTAAAAGCTCTCAACATTTAGATATTTCAAAGGTATGGAATCAGATGAGAGAGAAGAAGTGAGATGACAGTCCTGGAGCACAGCAAACTTTAGAGGCCAAAGTGACGCAGAGAACCCAGCAAAGGAACCAGAGAGCGCAGGATCAAGTGAAAAATGCATTTTAAAGGGGAGGGAACGACGACCTGTATTCAGTGCTGCAGATAGGTCAAGTAACATGAGGCCATTGTATTATAAATCTGTTTATATCTATCTATCTATCTATCTATCTATCTATATGTCTCCTTTATTTGGCTGAGAACTTGAGAGCAGAATGCATTTAGCAATGTAGTTACTTACAGCTTTGAAATCAGTGAGACATGGGCATGCCACTTAATGGCTGTTTTTCCTTAAGCTGGTTCTCTCAGTCTCTTTGAGCTTCAGTCTTATGTATAAAATGGGGAGGATACAGTACTTTTCCAGTGAGTTTTTGTGAGGATCAAATGAGATCATCCAGATGACACACTAAGCATAGTCCTGTTCATGCAGTTAAACCCATGCCAGTTATTATCATGATTAATTCAGTATACCTGGCACAGTACCCCTTCCTGTTCAGCAGCATTTGCTGAATGAACCAGCGAATTGCCTGTTCATTTTCATATTTCATTCAGGGCATTTCCCTGTGTGCTTATGAAGTATTAACATGGCATTTTTGGGGTTTTTCCAGGATCTAGTGCTGATCCTCACAAAGTGATTCTGGAAGAAGAGAGGAAAGGAAGTCCTCAGACAGAGCTGACGCGATGGAGCTCCCCAACTATAGCCGGCAGCTGCTGCAGCAGCTCTACACGCTGTGCAAGGAGCAGCAGTTCTGTGACTGCACCATTTCCATTGGTACCATTTACTTCAGGGCCCACAAACTTGTCCTGGCTGCTGCCAGCCTCCTGTTCAAAACCCTGCTGGACAACACAGACACCATCTCCATCGATGCATCTGTCGTGAGCCCTGAGGAGTTTGCCCTCTTGTTAGAAATGATGTACACTGGCAAACTACCTGTGGGCAAACACAACTTCTCCAAAATCATCTCCTTAGCTGACAGCCTACAGATGTTTGATGTGGCTGTTAGTTGTAAAAATCTTCTAACTAGCCTTGTAAACTGCTCTGTTCAGGGTCAGGTGGTGAGGGATGTCTCCACACCATCCTCAGAGTCATCCAGGAAGGAGTTGGAGAAGCCTGAAGTAGAAATTCTTTCCTCCGAGGGTGCTGGAGAGCTTCATTCTTCCCCGGAGGTTTCCACCCCTCCAGGGGGCCCTGTGAAAGCCGAGGTGGGGGAAGTGATCCAGACGGTTGTGCAAGAGATGAGTGTGGATCCTTCCGCTGCCCAGGGGATTCAGGGGAATGCAGACACCCCAGTGGAGACTCCTCTGACAGCTGAAGATTTTTCCCCTTCTCCTGTTGTACAAACCTTTAGTGAGGCAAAGGAAGCAAGCCCAGAATCAGGTAATATTCATTTAATAGTTGTTTTGTAATCTGTCCTTCTGTTGTCAATTACTAGATTCAGTGATCTTTATGAGTTTTTTGTTTGTTTGTTTGTTTCATTGATAAATTTATCAAAGATCACTGTTAGATTGGAAACCAAAATCCAATGCAATACTTGTACTAGGACATTCTTCTTTTAAAAGTGTTTGTGGTTTTGAGTGTTACAAGCCTGAAGATGAACCACAGAGCAGAAAAGCAGTATGGAAATAACCATGTACCATCTTTGATTCTTACCCGTTATTTTAACTAGGATGATGATGGCACAAAGGAGGAAGCTATTAGAGATGCTGTTTGCTATTACTTATAACTGATACATTAGCTGTTTTGTTTACAAATGCAGTACGTGACCTAAAGGTTCTCAGACAGCTTAAACTTTTAAAAATTATTTCAAGTAATCAATCACTGATTTTTTTAATTTTGTTTTGTTTTACATTCAGAGTATGAGGGGAAACACTACCAGCTGAATTTTCTTCTAGAAAATGAAAAAATCTTCTCAGATGCACTCTTGATTACCCAGGATGTTTTAAAAAGACTAGAAGAATGTTCAGAAATTAAAGGTGCACAGAAGGAGGTAGGTACCATGAGTTTTATTTGTTTGCTGGTTTAGTGTTCTCAGGATAGCAGATCAGTTATCAGGACCTCAGTTTTTTTCAAACTTTAAATTTTTTTTTTTTGACATTTATCCCCTAAAGGACAGTCATGCAAAAGTGCTAGGCAAGAGACTTTCAAAACAAAGTTATATTTTGATCACTAGGTGGATCCCAGCTTACAACCGGTTTTGATCCAGGATACTTAACTGAGCTTACCATTTCCTCCTGATTAATCAGGAATAAAATGGGGCAGAAGGTAGTTATGGATAACCCCAAATCAGAGATGAAGTGATAAAAACAAAAAACCAAACAACAATAAATACTCAAAACATGGTACGAAAAGGATTTAATATGGACTTACACAGTAGATTGCATCGTGTTTAGGAACACAGTGGTCATTTTCAGACATAAAAACAATAATGGTGAACATTTATTGAATACTTACCTTGATACACTTGGTATCAATACATATGTTATCTCATCTAATCCTCACAAAAATCATTGAGGTGGATACTATTTTATTATTTTTTATCACTGTTTTATGGATGAGAAGAACTGTCTCAAAGAGGTGATGTAACTCGGCCAAGGTTGCAGAGCTCATAAAACTAAGCTCTGAGCAAGAATTCAAACCTAAGCATTCTGACTTTAGAGCTCTCCTCTTACACATTGAGTTACTGCCTCCCAAAGGGATAAAAATGATGCGTGTACATCATGTATGTATAAACGTACATAGGCATCACCTGACAGAAAACTATCAAATGGTTATCATGCTCTATTTCTTAGCTGACATTTTCTGTTTTTTCATTATCTCAGTGAGGTGCATCCCCACCTGTGGGCTCCCTCACTACCCAGTTCCTCACACCTGATGCTGTAGGGTTGACTGCACTGCCACTTTAGGACTCCCTTGCTTCCCCTTTCTTCTGGCCATGCCTCCCATTCTGAGAGGTGCTGGCAGAGTGAGCGGGCACTGCCCCTGTAGGCTTGCTCATCTGACTGAGGGGGTAGTGTGGGGAGGCCTCCCATGTTGCTATAGACAATTTAGTGTCTGTTAGTTACTTTTTTTTTTTTTTAAAGGGAGGTTGCAATTTTAATTTTTTTATTATTTATTTATGGCTGCGTTGGGTCTTCGTTTCTGTGCGAGGGCTTTCTCTAGTTGTGGCAAGCGGGGGCCACTCTTCATTGCAGTGCGCGGGCCTCTCACTATCGTGGCCTCACTTGTTGCAGAGCACAGGCTCTAGACGCGCAGGCTCAGTAATTGTGGCTCGCGGGCTCAGTTGCTCCGCAGCACGTGGGATCTTCCCAGACGAGCGCTCGAACCCATGTCCCCTGCATTGGCAGGCAGACTCTCAACCACTGCACCACCAGGGAAGCCCTGTTATTTACTATTAATCCAAGCAATAAATGCCTTCTACTATTTAAATAGTTCCCTGATTCATAGCAAGTTACTTTTTAAAAAAACAAATTCAAGATCAAGTATTTACTTTAACCATGGTTTATCGACAGTTGGCTATAAATTGTTTTTTTGAGAGATAAGCTGTTTACAAGACTGGGCTGACCCTGATGACTCTCTTAGGGGAGGTTTCAAGTGGTAAATCCTTGGTACTCTTTGTACTGATTATGCTGAAGGACATTATGGCTTTGTATTTTTGCACTTGGATGTTCTCTTAACTGTTCAATCCATCATTTTGTCACTAGTTTGTTACCTCGATAGCTTATAGACACACCTCTTCATTTTCTCTCTTAAGACTTCCTCTCCACTTAACTTTGGTTACAGAGGAGCAACATCATTCCTTAGATCAGCAATACTCAAATTATTAGTGTCACCTCTGTACTAACTTAAACTGTGTCTTATGCATTTTTTTCCCAACACGTGTACCTAAAAGTGTCTGGCGCATACAGGTGTTCAAGAAATGTTTGCTGTACAGGGATTCATTCAACATTTCCCCCCCACTGCTTGTCCTAATCATTTGATGGCAATAACGTTAATAGTACTTTGCAATAACACTGATTCACTGTTGGTGATCATTATAGGCTTATGTTATTTCTTCCTCGGTTTTAGAGGTCAGAGTAAGAGCACTACAAATCACTTGGTAGCTATATTTAAAACTGATTCTGTTTTATTCTATAATAAATTGTTCAGCTACAGAAAGAAAAAGGGAAAAATACTTTAAGAACGTAAGATTAAATTAAATATAGAGTTGGGGAGGTACTGCTTTGTATGTAGGCCCTGTACTTCTCTTTCTCTCTCACTTTATTTTAGACAGCTTGAGGTATGATTGATGTACAGCAAATTGTACATATTTAAAGGTTATAGTTTGCTAAGTTTTGAAACCTGAAATCATCATCACAATCAAGATAGTGAACATATCCATCACCCCTAAAAATCTTGTCACATCCCTTTGCAGTCCGTCCATCCTGCCCCTTTCCACTTGCTATTCCCCAGGTAACACTTGTCTGCTTTCTCTCTCTCTAGATGAATGTGCATTTTTCTAGAGTATTTTATAAATGGAATCATATAATCTGTATTCCTTTTGGTCTGGCTTCTTGCATTCAGCATAACTATTTTGAGGTTCACCCAAGTTGTTGCATGTTCATTCCTTTTTATTGCTGAGCAGGGTCCCATTGTATGGATATACCATTTATTTATCCAGCTCTACCATTTACTAGTATTGTTAGCTTCAGCAGCTTAATACCTGAAAGCCTTAATTTCCTAATTTGTAAAATTTGGTAGTGTTATCACCTACATCGTAGGGTCATTGTGAAATTAATTAAGATTTATGTAAAACTCACACTAAAACGGCAGGCACATAGAAGGAGCTCAGTAGGTGACGACTGCTTTTGTTTGCTCATACATTAACTCAGTATTTTTTTTTAATTTTTTATTTATTTATTTATTTTTAACATCTTTGTTGGAGTATAATTGCTTTACAATGGTGTGTTAGTTTCTGCTTTATAACAAAGTGAATCACTTATACATATACATATGTCCCCATATCTCTCTCCTCTGCGTCTCCCTCCCTCCCACCCTCCTTATGCCACCCCTCTAGGTGGTCACAAAGCACCGAGCTGATCTCCCTGTGCTATGTGGCTGCTTCCCACTAGCTATCTATTTTATATTTGGTAGTGTATATATGTCCATGCCACTCTCTTACTTCATCCCAGCCTACCCTTCCCCCTCCCTGTGTCCTCAAGTCCATTCTCTATGACTGCATCTTTATTCCTGTCTTGCCCGTAAGTTCTTCAGAACCATTTTTTTTCAGATTCCATATCTATGTGTTACCATACGGTATTTGTTTTTCTCTTTCGGACTTACTTCACTCTGCATGACAGTCTCTAAGTCCATCCACCTCACTACAAATATCTCAATTTTGTTTCTTTTTATGGCTGAGTAATATTCCATTGTATATATGTGCCATATCTTCTTTATCCATTCATCTGTCAATGGACACTTAGGTTGCTTCCATGTCCTGGCTATTGTAAATAGAGTTGCAATGAACATTGTGGTATATGTCTCTTTTTGAATTTTGGTTTTATCAGGGTATATACCCAGTAGTGGGATTGCTGGGTCATATGGTAGTTCTGATTTTAGTTTTTGAAGGAACCTCCATGCTGTTCTCCATAGTGGCTGTATCAATTTACATTCCCACCAACAGTGCAAGAGTGTTCCCTTTTCTCCACACCCTCTCCAGCATTTTTTGTTTGTAGATTTTTTGATGATGGCCATTCTGACTGGTGTGAAGTGATACCTCATTGTAGTTTTGATTTACATTTCTCTAATGATTAGTGATGTTGAGCATCCTTTCATGTGTTTGTTGGCAATCTGTATATCTCCTTTGGAGAAATGTCCGTTTAGGTCTTCTGCCCATTTTTGGATTGGGTTATTTGTTTCTTTGATATTGAGCTGTATGAGCTGCTTGTATATTGCAGAGATTAATCCTTTGTCAGTTCCTTCGTTAGCAAATATTTTCTCCCATTCTGAGGATTGTCTTTTCGTCTTGTTTATGGTTTCCTTTGCTGTGCAAAAGCTTTTAAGTTTCATTAGGTCCCATTTGTTTATTTTTGTTTTTATTTCCATTACTCTAGGAGGTGGATCAAAAAGGATTTTGCTGTGATTTATGTCATAGAGTGTTCTACCTTTGTTTTCCTCTAAGAGTCTTATAGTGTCTAGTCTTACATTTAGGTCTTTAATCCATTTTGAGTTTATTTTTGTATATGGTATTAGGGGGTGTTCTAATTTCATTCTTTAACATGTTGCTGTACAGTTTTCCCAGCACCACTTACTGAAGAGGCTGTCTTTTCTCCTTTGTATATTCTTGCCTCCTTTATCAAAGATAAGGTGACCATATGTGCGTGGGTTTATCTCTGGGCTTTCTGTCCTGTTCCATTGATCTATTTTTTCCATTGATCTACTGTTTCTGTGCCAGTACCATACTGTCTTGATTACTGTAGCTTTGTAGTATAATCTGAAGTCAGGGAGCCTGATTCCTCCAGCTCCATTTTTCTTTCTCAAGGTTGCTTTGGCTATTCGGGGTCTTCTGTGTTTCCATACAAATTGTGAAATTTTTTGTTCTAGTTCTGTGAAAAATGCCATTGGTAGTTTGATAGGGATTGCATTGAATCTGTAGATTGCTTTGGATAGTAGAGTCATTTTCACAATGTTGATTCTTCCAATCCAAGAACATGGTATAGCTCACTATCTGTTTATATCATCTCTAATTTCTTTCATCAGTGTCTTATAGTTTTCTGCATATAGGCCTTTTGTCTCCTTAGATAGATTTATTCCTAGGTATTTTATTCTTTTTGTTGCATTGGTAAATGGGAGTGTTTCCTTAATTTCTCTTTCAGATTTTTCATCATTAGTGTATAGGCATGCAAGAGATTTCTGTGCATTAATTTTGTATCCTGCTACTTTACCAGATTCATTGATTAGCTCTAGTAGTTTTCTGGCAGCATCTTTAGGATTCTCTATGTATAGTATCAT